CGATCCGTGGCGGTAGTCTGTCAACCTTCCCCACGGGCAGTCCCAGGGAAACCTTTAAGTCTTTGGGTTCCGGGGGAAGTAAGGTTGCAAAGCTGAAACTTAAAGGAATTGACAGAAGGGCACCACCAGGAGTGGAGCCTGCGGCTTAATTTGACTCAACACGGGAAAACCCACCCGGGCCGGACACTATGAGGATTGACAGATTGATAGCTCTTTCCTGATTTGGTGGTTGGTGGTGCATGGCCGTTCTTAGTTGGTGGAGCGATTTGTCTGGTTACTTCCGATAACGAACGAGACTCCAGCTCGCTGATTAGTGCGTTTGTCCAATACACCTGTGTAACCGGCGTCCGGCAGGGCTGCTCCTGTCTGCTATCTTGGCGTGTAGCGTTGCTGTCGCTGGCGCCTTTGTCGTCATAGCCGTTGTTGCCTAAGCTGCTGTCGCAGCTGCCGCCATCGGGTGTCTGCAGCCTCGTGGTTGTAGACATGTTGGTGGTGGTGGTCTTGACGATGGTGGTGGTAGCGCTGGTCTTGGTGCTGGCGTTGGTGGCAGTTGCTTGGCCAGGGTGGTTTGGGCTGTGGCTAGTCCGGCGTTAGCTTCCGGGTACGGCGCGAATGCCTACTTCTTAGAGGGACAAGCGGGAGACGACTGGCTTAGGCGCACAATCTAGTCGCCTATTTTACGTCCCCGATTCACACTGCGGTTTAAAATTTTTGATTGACCTGGTGCCGAGGTTAGCGTAATTCCTTCAGGACCTGACAAACGCCACCTCAAAACCTCTGGTCTTCAATTTCAAGCTGCGAACAGTTCGCCTATCGCAACGTATGGCCAAAAGTTACTTACCTTAGATCTAGGCCTAAGGCGACAATTTGCCTTCATCTTTACCGTGGCTGATGTTCAACGCCCAATAATTGGTGCTGATTTCCTTTCCCATTTCGGTCTGCTAGTTGATATGGCACAACGAAAGTTTATGGACTCAAATACGACACTATCAGTTCGAGGAGTCTCTGCTTCAATAAATTCAATTGGAATCCACCTGGCATTGCCCGATTCTAACAGATATGATAAACTTTTGAAGGAGTTCTCCGAGATTGTCAAAGTGGCTCAGGCGCCCTGCGAACCTACTCACCAAGTCATGCATCATATCGTGACTAAAGGTCCACCAACAACCGCCAAGGCCAGACGACTTGCCCCTGATAAGCTCGGAGCAGCCAGAGCGGAATTTGAACATATGTGCCGTCTAGGCATTATCCGCCCCTCCAACAGCCCATGAACGGCCCCTTTACATATGGTACCCAAGAAATCTGGAGACTGGAGACCCTGCGGTGATCACAAAGCCCTAAATAATGTCACAGTCCCTGACCGGTACCCAACCACTCATATCCACGATTTTTCATTGGGATTAAGCAGTACAAAAGTCTATTCCAGTCTTGGTCTTGTCCGGGCTTATCATCAGATTCCTGTGGCCCCTGAAGACGTTCCGAAAACTGCCGTTATTACCCCATTTGGCTTATTCGAGTTCCTCCGAATGCCTTTCGGTTAGCGTAACGCAGCACAAACCTTCCAGAGATTCATGGACCAAGTTCTCTGTAATCTCGATTTCGTCTTTGTCTACATTGATGATATCCTCATAGCCAGCAAAGACAATGATGAACATGTGCTGCATCTACGGCAGGTTTTTACCCGTCTCAAAGCTTTCGACATTACTATTAACCCTCATAAATGTGTTTTTGGTGTAGACACTATTGATTTCCACGGACACAAGATTGACGCAAGTAGTATTAGACCCTTGGCTGAGAAAACAACAGCGATTCGGGAGTACCCAATGCCAGAATCTCCCCGTAGTTTACGCCGTTTTCTTGGTTTGGTCAGTTACTATGTACGATTCATCCCACATGCTGCTAAAATTTTGTCTCCGCTGACTGACTTGCTTCAAGGTAATCCCAAGAAGCTAACTCTTACGCAGGAGGCTGAAACTGCCCTCCAGGCTATTAAGGATGCGATAGCAGAGGTCACAAATTTGTGCTACTGGAAGAAGGAAGCGAAACTTGTCCTACGAACAGATGCTTCCCAAACTGCGGTCGGCGCAGTCCTTCAGCAAGAACTGGACGGTTGTACTGAGCCGTTGTCATTCAACCAGCTCAGATCCGTTACAGTACCTTTTCATGCCTTTCATGCAGCCTCCGATCGGTATTCTCCACGCGAATCCAGATACCTTGACTATGTTTCCCAGTTCACAACCAATATTCTCCACGTTGGTGGGACTGATAACGTCGTGGCCGATGCGCTGGCCCGAGCGCATATTCAAAACCCTGCAGTTCCTGGTATCGATCTTGAACACTTAGCTGCAGCACAGATGGATGATCCTGAATTACAACAGCACCGTTGAAACTCTAGTCTAAAGCTAGAAGAGCTGTCACTTCCCCAATGTTCTTCAAAAATTACTTGCGATATGTCACTTGGCAGACCTCACCCCTTTGTTCCTGTCTTATTTAGAAAGCAAATATTTGAATCCCTTCATTCTCTATCACACCCTGGTGTTCGCGCCACCGTGCGCTTGATAACAGACTGTTTTGTTTGGCCTAGCATTCGTAAAAATGTTCGCTTATGGGCTAAACTCTGTATTCCATGTCAACT